TGATGATGAAGATGATACAGCTGAACTTATGGCTGAATTAGCTCGTATAAAAAAAGAACGTGCAGCTGAAACAGCTCGACTTGACCAGCTAAAACGTGTTGAAGAAGAAAAAATTCGTACAGAAAATATTCTTAAAGGTAATCCATTATTGAATCCATCAACAAAAGTTGCAGCACAACCATCAACTACTGAATTTCGTGTTAAACGTCGTTGGGATGATGATGTTGTTTTTAAAAATTGCGCCAAAGCCGATGGTTCAAGTGGTGAAAAACGTGTTGCACGATTTGTTAATGATAGTTTACGTAGTGAATTTCATCGACGTTTTATGGATAAATATATTAAATAAATATTTTTTCGTCTTGTGTATATAAATCTAAAAACAAAGAATATATTTGTTGTTGATCGATAGGATTTTTTTTTCTTCTTCTAGATGGAAACTATTGATAATAGTGAGATTAATATTAATGAATGCAATATAAATGAACTTTTACCAACATTATTTCGTCTTCAATCACAACGATGTTTAACATATCAACGTCTTCATGATGCACAAATAATGTTTTTTACTACACATAATTTTCCGGCCTTTCAAAATTTTCTTTCGGATATTACAATTATATTTGCAAGAATATCCGAAGAAGTTTTATCGATAAAAAAACGGTTAGAAGATAAAAAGCTAATTTATAAACATATTGAACAATTACAAGATTATGAACAAAAGAAACTTCAATTAACAAATGAATTATTTCTAGCTAAAGTTGAAAAGAAAAATGATGATATTGAAAATATTAATGAAAAATTAACGGAACTTATTCATAATATCAATGAAATTTTAGAAGAATTACGCTATGATCAAGAAGATTTTATTCAAATTGAAACGTAAAAATAAATCTTTATTGTTTCTTTTTTCAGATTTCAATAAAAAGAATATCATATATTCAATCAATACATACAATATTCTTGGCAAAAATTTGTAACTATTTAGTCTTTAAATAAAATAAATAGATTTTATTAGTTAAGTATTATATTTACTATTAGAAACACATTGGAACTATGAAGACAACATGAAATTACGGATGGATAGTTCCAGTAAATTACGCACTGACTTGCTGACTGCATTGATATCGGTTTTAGTAATTCTGTGAGCAATCAATACTGATGTTGCCTAACTATATTGACCATATATATACATTGATATTCATGAAAATACTTCAGCAGTAATATTGAAAAGTAGAGATATAGATATACTAATTATTATTATTGAGGAAAACTTAGAGTACACAAAGATGTATCGTCTGACAAGGTTGATATTTTAGTATTTCATTAATAAAAAGAAACTTCTCAAATATCAATATTCATGTTTTAATGATATACATATTAGTTTGTAAAGTTAGAATGATGTTCATAGCTACCACCGTGTTCGCATCGTGTGTGGCCGTTTACGAGCATTTATATTCGTTCTCGGATGTCATTATAGTTCCTATTTCAATGTATTACGCATCCTTATTTTGAATATTAATAGTTTTATTAAAAGACTTTTAAAATCCTATCATCATAAATAAAAAAAGAGATTTTGTAAAAATGATCGATTTTTTTCAGATCATAATATCAGTACGAAGAAAAAAAATTATTCATCATGTCAGCTATTACAACATTAAATCCAAAAGCTGAAAGTGCTCGTCAAGCACAAGCATTAGCAATTAATATATCAGCTGCTCGTGGTCTTGCTGAAATGCTTAAAACAAATTTAGGTCCAAAAGGAACAATGAAAATGTATGTATCATTAAATATATATATATATTGTTCTCTATTCATACCTTCATATTTTAGGCTTGTATCAGGTGCAGGTGATATTAAAATAACTAAAGATGGTTGCACACTTCTTCATGAAATGGTTTGTTATACTAATATTTTCCGTTAAAAAAATTGATTCTATTATCTACATATAGCAAATTCAACATCCAACTGCATCATTAATTGCTCGTGCAGCTACAGCTCAAGATGATATAACTGGTGATGGTACAACTTCAATTGTTCTATTAATTGGTGAACTTCTTAAACAAGCTGATCTTTATATTTCCGAAGTAATTACATAAAATAAAAAAGAATATAAATTTCATTCATATTATTTTATATATATACTAGGGTCTTCATCCACGTATTGTTGGTGAAGGTTTTGAATTAGCAAAAAAAGAAGCATTACAAATACTTGATAAAGTTAAAATACCAATAACATCAGATCGTGAAACACTTATTCAAATGGCTCGTACTTCATTACGTACAAAACTATCACTTGAAAATGCTGATATTCTTACTGATGTTCGTAATAAATATTTTTGATTTTTTTAAAACTATATTACATTTTCTATATAGATTGTTGTTGATGCTATATTAGCTTTGAATGAACCGGGTAAACCAACAGATTTAAATATGGTTGAAATCATGGAAATGCAACATAGAACAGAAGCTGATTCTCGACTTGTACGTGGTATTGTACTTGATCATGGTGGTCGTCATCCATCGATGCCTAAATCATTGAAAAATGCTTATATTTTAACTTGTAACGTTTCACTTGAATATGAAAAGACGTAAGCATATTTTTTTACCATAAATATATTTTTCATTTCTTTGCTTTTGTTTTCTAGAGAAGTCAATGCTGGTTTCTTCTATAAAAATGCTGAAGAACGTGATCGTCTTGTTACATCAGAACGTAAATTTATTGATGATCGTGTTCAAAAAATAGTTGAACTTAAACGAAAAGTTTGTTCGGGTGACGATAAAAATAAATCATTCGTTGTTATCAATCAAAAAGGCATTGACCCATTTTCACTTGATATTTTGGCTAAAGAAGGAATATTAGGATTAAGACGTGCTAAACGTCGTAATATGGAACGTTTAACTTTAGCATGTGGAGGTGAAGCAATGAAGTAAGAGAGAGAAAAGAAAAATCTTTATGAATAATAATTGAATCATTTTATTTAATTAGTTCAGTTGAAAATCTTACAAAAGAATGTTTAGGTTATGCTGAAGATGTTTATGAACATGTATTAGTATGTATCTTATCTCAATTAATTTGTTTGTATAAATCTTTTGTTGTAATTTAGGGTGAAGAAAAATTCACATTTATTGAAGGCTGTAAAAATCCAAAATCAGTTACAGTTTTACTCAAAGGTTCAACTAAATATATCTTAACTCAACTTAAAGATGCTCTTCGTGATGGTCTTCGATCAATTACAAATGCAATTGAAGATGGTTTGTTTTTTTGTTTCTAAAAAAATCTTAATTGATATTTTAAATTATTTTTCTTTATATTTAGGTTGTGTTATTCCCGGTGGTGGTGCTTTTGAAATAGTTGCTCATCAAGCACTTACTCAATATAAAGAACAAGTTAAAGGACGAGCACGTTTAGGTGTACAAGCATTTGCTGAAGCATTATTAATTATACCAAAAGCAATTGCTCAAAATGCTGGACATGATCAACAAGAAACAATTGTTAAACTTCAACAAGAATATACAACATTAAAAACTCCCGTTGGTATTGATGTTACAACAGGTATATTTTCTATCCTATTAAAAATATTCTATTAAGAATTATGTTGTTTTTTTGTGTAGGTGAAGCTATGGATCCAAAATCATTAGGTATCTATGATAATTATCGTGTTAAAAAACAATTAATTCATTCAAGTACATCAATTGCAACAAATTTAATTCTTGTTGATGAAATTCTTCGTGCTGGTTTATCATCATTACGTCCCGGTGGACAATAATCTCTTTAATTAACTAATCAGTAGTAACACGTGTGTTTATAGTTTAACATATGAGAGAATGAAAACATCATGACATTTTTTTTTATAGAACTAATTTTTACACACACACATATTTACTAAAACAAAAGAAAAGCAACAGAACAATCCTTGTTTTTTTCCTTTCAAAATCGTTGTTGTGTTTTTTTTCTTGTTATTCATATGTTTTTTAACGACGTTGAAATAAACAAACGACAAGTTTAATTTTTTTCTTCTAAATCTCATCATTCTAAAGATTGATAACAATAAAATGCGTACTTATTGACCTATTACGTGTTATGATTCATCGACAACTAAGAACGCATAAAAGAAAAATATTATTTACGATAGTATATATAAATAAACTGTTTACTACATTCGATTCATTCTTAGAAATATGTCCCCAATAAACTTTCAATTATTTGCACCTACAATAGCTGAAGCTACTTTAATTGGATCATTTTCGGAATGGAAAGATATTCCGATGACATTTGAAAATGGTACTTTTCATTGTTCGACAGAACTTTCTGATGGTGATCATGAATATAAATTTCATATTCGACGACAAAATGAAGATCAATGGATCGATGTTATTGATCCATATGTTAGTAGATATGAGCCAACAAGAAATACAGGTATAATAACTATAAAAAATGGAAAGAAAATATTAGATGAATATACATGGAAATATGATGATGTTAAATTACCTGATAATAAAGATTTAATTATATATGAAATGTATGTTGCGGATTTTGCTGATAATGGACAATTTTCTGGTGTTATTGAAAAATTAGATTATCTATGTGATTTAGGTTTTAATGCAATTGAATTATTACCAATTCTTGGTAAGATTTATTTTTAAAATAAAAAATAGAAATTTCTTATTTTTATATTATAGAATCAATGGGTACGGATCATGATTGGGGTTATTCAACACGAAATTTTTTTGCATTAAAAACAACATACGGTTCAACAGGAGATTTTAAACAATTAATTGATGAATGTCATAAACGAAAAATTCGAGTTATTTTCGATGCAGTATTTAATCATACATCTACAGATTGTCCACTTGAAATAATTGATCATAATTATTGGGTAAATTATTTAGATGTATATTTAATTTAAAATCGTTTCTTTTTCATTTTAGTATTATCAAGGAAAACATCATCCAGATGGTTATTTAACAAGATATATATTTTTGTCGTTAATTTAGAACCTTTTTTTTCTAGATCAATTCTATTGGGGCCCGGAATTTAATTATGAACATTATGATGAACAACAAAATTTAAAACCAGCATGGAAATATGTAACTGATGTTGTACGTTATTGGATTAGTGAATTTCATTTAGATGGTATTCGTTTTGATGCTGGTAATAATATTCTCTACTAATTTTTGTATAGTTTCTTTTGTTTAATTTCTTAGCTAAACAAATGGATAATTATGATATTCTTCGTGAATTAGATAATGTTGCTCATTCTGTACGAACTTCTCAACCATTTTATACAGCTGCTGAATATGTTCCCGAAACCCCAAATATTCTTAAATCAAATGGTGGTCCTGTTGATGCATGTTGGTCAAGTTCATTTCATGGTGTTTTAATTAATAATTTAACAGATTTATCAAAATTGGAACTTGATCTTATGAAATATGTTATAGGTGCACCTGATTTAGTTAATTATTTATCATGTCATGATAATGAACGATTTCTTTTTCTACTTGGTAAACAAGGAAATGCATTTGATGATGATGCATTTATACGTATGAGACTTGCAATGATTATTCTGATAACATCGGTTGGTATACCTTTTATTGCACAAGGTGATGAATTTGGTGAAGCAAGAGAATGGGGTGATAAAGATCAAAATAAAAAAAAGTTTCCAATGCAATGGGATTTATTAAACAATGAACGAAATCGATCTTTAGTTGATACATGTAAAAAACTTTTACTATTACGAAAACAACGTGAAGATATGAAAGAAAAAACTGCGAATTTTATCTATGAACATCATGATAATCGTGTTCTTGTCTATGCAAGAAGTAAAGAATTAGTTATTATTACACATTTTTCTAATGAAGAAAAAAAAGATTATGAAATTAATAATTTTCCTCAAAATGGAAAATGGATTGATTGGTTATCGAATGAAGAATATCAAATTGATAATAATACATTAAAAACAAATTTAAAACCATTTGATGGAAAAGTTCTTGTTTTACAAAAATAACTTGTTCTTTCTTTCTTTGTATGTTTCTACTTTATATTGTTAATAGGCTGATATTTAAAAGCAGTCTATATTAGATGTAGATTCAAATAAAATATTTCAGCTATTTATATGAAAATCGATTTAATAATATACTTTGAATGTCTCTCACTTACATTTTCAAGGCACACACACACAGATAGTTCTTTACAGTGCTTTTGAAAACAATTATATGAATCCGTTTGCGTGCGCCATCTGTTCGATGAAGAAATTAAGAATTTATAAGATAATGTTTTTTAATGATATTGATAGATATCAGAAAATAAAAATAATTTTATAGAAAAAATTGATTATTTTTGTCTTAGTTAATAATCTTAAACGTTGTTAACGATCACTAAGAGAACAGATAATGTTTCTATCTTGTAGTTGCTTAGTTTCCATTTCGTGATTCTGTCAAAATGATGGAAGCAGTGAGCAACTGGCTTGACCGCGTAGCTCAAAGCTCGTTTGATGTACCTCATCCAGCTGAAATCAATGGTCCACAAGGAACTTCGGACGTCAAAGGTACTGGAGGTAACGCAGACAATACAAGCAATATTGTTCCATTTCGAATTTTAATTAAATCACTTGAACTTTTACCATCATCCGTCTCTTCGGTATGCTATTTCTAATATGAGACACTTTTTTTTTATTCAGTCGATTGTTTTTAGACTCTTGCTGCTCCATATGAAGTGCAATTTACTGCAACATTATTTGATAATTTATATAAACGATTTTATGGACAAACATGGTTTAGTGGTTGGCATAGAGGCAAACTTGCAACCGATAGCTTCTTTCGAGTCAATCTCAGTGAAGTATATTGAAATTCATTATATATATAGGTGTGTGTGTATATAAAATATGATTATTTTTTAAGCCATTATATTGCCATATACCATTGAAAAATGATCAAAATTGTTTAGTTATTCAATTTATATTTCGTAGTGGAGAAGATAAACCCGATCGAGATGAACTTGTTGGTGGTTGGACAGTTATTAAATTAAAACCATGGACTGCTGATGATGATATTACTAAAGCAATTAGTAATCGGTATTAATATTATTCAAAATAAATATACTCTACATATCAATAATTTTATTTTAGTCAACCATTATATCAAGGTTCACCACGTGCTCTTATGTTTCTTAATGAACCACTTGAAAGTATATTCAATCTACAAATAATACTATTAAAAATTAAATCTGTTTATTTTATATAGCATGTTCAAGAGTTTTGCAAGTTGCATCTGCTGGTTTATTTACTGAAATAAGATATCATGATCCACTTTTTTCCGTCATACAATATTTATCTGAATGTACTCTGTACGGACGTGGTGCTAATATCGGCGGTATACATCATACTGGTGATCCAAGTAATTAAAGAATATTATTACTTTATTTTCTCTATACATGTATTTTTATAGATGAAGATGTATTAAAACAACCAAATATTCAAACAAATCGACGAAATATTTTAATTGAACAAGTTGAAATTGATATGGAACCATCAATAAATCAGTTTGAAGAAGAACTTTGTCGATTAATTAATAAAGATCGATTAGAAAAAACCAAAACAACTCAAACAACATTAACAGCATTAGTACAAGAATCACATAATAAAGTTTCTATTGTTGAACGACGTTTACGTGTAAGTTTTTTTCATAGATATATATATTAAATGAAATATTGGTCTTTTATTTAGGTCGGTGTACACAACGGACAATGTTATGTACAAGATCCACTTATTTTTTATCTAACATCCGATCAAGAAGATACTGGAATGTCATCATTATCAAGAAAATTAAGTTTTAGACAATCACAACGACGAAGAACAGTATCTGCTGAAAGGTTTGAAAAGTATTTAATTTTACATATATATTAATAAAATATTTTTAGTCGTACTAATGGAATAGATGATCGAAAAAGACTTTATTTAAGAAATCCAATACGAATTGATGATGTTCCTATTGATGATTTAAATGCTATTGTATTTGTACTTGAATATATGGTTGCTATACCACTTGGTACACCTGTTAAACCGGTAATTAATTATGAAATTAATTTAATTCGAAATATTTAATATTTATTTAGAATGCAACTATTGAAAATACTAAAGTAACATTTACTATTCGTTGGTCAGCTTGGTTTCCTGGTAAAGATAAACAAGTTTCTTTAATTATGTATGGAGGTGAAACATTACCAAGTGATGAACTTTTCGTATATAAACCATCGAAAACAGTTTTACATAATGCACCTGATATTGTTCAAGAAACATTACGATTTAATTATAGATTTGATAATGAAGTAAAATTTAATTCAAAAATCAAATCAATCTTTTTAATTTTTAATCATAGGCTCCTATGCGATATCAAACTGTTACAGCCAGACAAGATGTTTTATCACCTGCTACTCAAAAGTAATTCTTTTAGAATTATAACCCATATATATTAATTATTTTCTGTTAGACCGATGATTCCATTTCAATCAACTGTACCAACACCAATGAATTACGATCTTATGCAACGAACAGGTACAAAAAAGAACAAATTTCTGATATATATATATATTGTTATTATTTTCAGCGGTACCACCACATACAATTCCTTCAGCTATACAACCACCTATATATCACCAAGCTGTAAGAAATCTAAGCATATTATTTTTCTAGTATTTTATATGATGTTTTATAGAATCTAGTACCATGGCAAGCTGATGGAGTTTATCCAGCATATTCACCAATGTCAGCTTTAGCAAGTCAAATGACTTTGTAAAATAAATTTTTATATCAGAGATTTGTAAATTAAGAATTTTCTTGTTTTTTAGTGCTCATACATTATCACGTGCTGCTTATTCTCGTTTACAAGGTCAAAATTTTCCAGCAATAAAAACAATGAATGATAAAGAAGCTGAAATAATTGATATAAGACAATCACGTTTTCTTGATTTACAAACAGAAATGGCTGATCCAATGAATTGTAATCAAATTAATTTACATTTTCTATCTTATTTCAAGTAAAGAATATTGCTTCTCCTTTTTTTATTCTTTAAATTATTTTCTTTTTTAATTTAAGAATGATACGAGCTGGTATATCATCGAAATCAACTTATCCAAAAAGTATTTTTTTTACTTTTAAATTCTATCGTTTTCCTGAAACAACAACAAGCAGGTTTAAAAGAATTTTATTCATATTTTTAAGTACCTATTTTTTTCTATAATATTCATAGAGTAATGCTTGAACGTATGCATGATACGATTTCTAATGATCCAAATGTTGAACCATATATACTTTGGCGTTTGAAAGAGGATAGTACAAAAACTTCGGGTTTACCTGGATTACCTGTAAACATATTAAAACAAAAAATATCCTTTCATTTCTTATGAATTTTTTCTAGGTAAAATTTCAAGTTGATGGTGCTTTTCTTGGTTCTGTTGAACAACGACAATTTTTTGAATATCTCAATACACATACACTTTATATTGAAGTTTGGGATGGTGACGGACTTTTTCCTGTTGGTATGTGTGCACTTGAACTCAGGGTAAATAGAAACTAAATATATTTTTAACTAAAATAAAAATTATCTTTATATGATTAGTATTTACTTCGTGATGGTCGTCCAGGTGTACAAACATTAATTGAACTTGATGTATATGCAACTGTTCCAATTGAAAGTAGTGAAGCACCTGCTATGGAAAATCAATATTATCAAGTATATATATTTTTTAATCTTATTTAATGAAAACATATGTATATTTCATAGTCAAGTGATCAACAATTTTCATTGATTGGTGAAAAATTAAAAACTGTTGGTAAATTAATAATGCGTATTGGTAATGTTGGATCAGTTGGATCTGAACAACCATCAATTGAAACAATTAAAGGTATGTTTTGTTTTTGTGTATTCGAGAAAAAAATCATATCACTTATATATTTTTTACATAGCTTCTGATGCTTTACGATTATTACCAACAAGTCGAATAATATCCTCTACACCACCTTTTGATATTGTTCAACAACGTGCTGGTGAAGTAACAACAGGTGGTATTAAAGATTATCATTTAACACGTGCACATCGTATAGTTGAATCATATCCAAATATAAATTCTGTTTTACATAGTTCGGTAATAAAATGTCTTTTTTTTCTATATACAGATTTTATTATTTATATTCTTATTAGGATAAACAAGCTAATGAATCTGAACGTCAACGAAAATTAGCACGAATGGAATCAGTACGAAAACGAACGGCCGAAGCCGGAACTGATGATGTCTCAACATCATTAGCAATGACAAATCGTAAAGCACGTGAATTACGTGGAAGTGATTTACGTACAATATCAATGTATCGTCAACAAACAAAACATGAAGATATTGCTCATCATTTAATGGCATTTATTACTCGTGAAGTAAATATTCGTTTAATGCCTGGTAATGTTGAATTTTTTGAATATATACTTCAAAATCCTTATCCAGAACAACATTCTATTAGTATTGCATGTAATGATGATGAATTAAGGTATTTATAAAAGAGTTTTTTATTTTCTTAAATTAATTATTATTATTTATTAGTGTTGTAACTGATGCACGAGAATGGCGTCGTCTTAAAACTTTATTTGAAGTTTTTTCTGATACAGAAGAAAATATGTTTACAAATCAAACAGGAATTATTGATCAAAGTGGCTTAAAATATCCACAAATATTTGTCCGAGCGAAAGAATCAGTTCATATACCATTTAAATTACAAACATTTCTCGCAAAAATACCACCAGCTGAACATAAAACATCATCGAATCCATTTGCATTAGAACAAACGTATTCTGTTGTAGAAAAGAATTACAATGAAAAAATTAAATCTAAACAAATTAAGGTTAGTCGATACTATAATATGAAAGAAAATGAATCTGATTTTTTAGGCAACATTTCAAGCAGAAGATGGTACACCAATAGGTATTTTATCTATTAATGTCGAATATTTGTCACCTATTGTTGATCAAACTATTCGTTGTATTAATGGAGAAAATACATTATTAAAACGAGTATTTCGTATACCAAATCCACGTCGAGCTGTTGAAACAGGTTTTATTAATTCGATTATTATTTTTAGTTAAATATTTATTTATATTTAGAATCTCTTTCTGGTTTACCTGAACAAATTCATCAAATATTTGTTCGTGCAAGTGATTTAAATATTGTTTGTGAAGCTAAATCTGTATCGATTAATCAACCATGTGATATGTTAATTAAAGTATTTGAAATTTTCCTAGATGAAAATTTGATAAAAACAAAATTTCTTATTTTCTAGGCTGCTACACATAATGCACCTACAGTGAATAGTTTCATAGTATTTATGTATGGTGATGGTTTTCTTCATAGACCTATAAATGTATGGCAATTTCAAATTCATGCTGTTAAACGTTTAGATTTAACTTGTATTCAATATCAAACAACGACTGCTACTCTTCTTCTTCGGTATAGATTGTTTTTTTAAATATTTTTCTATATTAAAATATAATAATAGAGGTACACGTTCATCACGTTTGGTTCAATGTTTTGGCAATGCACCTGATGAACTAATAATCTCACCAAGCAATGCTTTTTCTTTAGCTGCTAATGGACTTCATGAAATTCATATACTTGTACGACCAGCACGTTCAGGTCTACGTACATATTGTGTGAATGCAGTTGATGTAGAAAATCATCAAATTGTTGATACATGGATGATACGAATTGATACACGTATGCCTATTATATCAAAACAATTCGGTAAGAAAAAATCTTATTAAGAATAATGAAAAAAAAAATTAAATAATATTTCTAGCTCATTCAGTATCGCTTGGACAAAGTCAATCTGTTAGTAAACGTATATCATATACAAATCCATATGCTATTCGAAAAACATTCTTTTTTACAAGCAGTCATCCTGAATTACTTCAATTACAACATCAAAAAATTGATTTTCAAGCAAATGAAAAGAAATTTATTAGTTTTACATTATTACCAGCGTTTAATGTTACACCTGTTACAGATATTATTATATTAATTAATAACGAACAAGATACAAACGAAGATGCTTATTGTATTCGTGTTACTTATACAGATTCAAACATTCCTATTTAATATTGTTGCTTATGTATAACATGTCGACTTGTTTGTTGTGTGTAGTTTTATAGTTAATGAATTTTTAAATGAGAAATCAATTAGAAAAAATAATATAGTTCGAATTTTTTTTTTGATAGAATGAATATTCAATTGATATAGGTGCCTTTTAAACAAACTATCTGCTTTTTCATACAAGTTTATATATTATTATACATAAATAAATTGTATAAAAAGACAAAGATTGGTATTATGTACGATGTTAAGAAAAAATGCCGTATCCCCCTACGGCGAAATATTGCCATTTGATCGTGAAGGATTAAATTCATTAGAAATATTAAGAATATCAAAGTGAAACTCTATAAAAACAATAAATCTCTCCCACGATTCGTCAATCATACATTACATATGAATTGAAGAGATTGATAATGAGAGCCTATGTCAACTTTATTTCCGCTATTTAGATTGAAGAATAAAAAAAATTTCCGGTAGTAATCATACTTACATAGGATTCATGAGGCGACGAGAAATACAGGTGCGTGGTCCATCATCGAACATGCAAGAAAAATAATGTGACTTGTTATTTAATCATATGTTTAGAACAAAAAGGTTTTGAAATAGTCCCGTTAATTTACCGAAATGAAATCATTCGATTGCCTACACAAAAAAAACTTTATTTGTAATGTTTGCATGCATAGTCTACGTGTTGATATTCCATTATTGAGTGTAATTTAGTTATTAAAATATGGTGTATAAAGAGAAAAAGGAAAAGAGAAATAAAAAAAAGGTAAAATTTATAGTTCCTATATAAAAAGTCATTTAGATTATTGTTTCATAGACATTTATTTGATTGATAAAATATACAAGTGACAACTTTGAAGTAAGTAGTGTATAACACACGATGAGAAAAGGAATTTTGTTATAAGACTAGGAAAAATAACATTTGAAAAGTATATTTACTATTTATTTTCATAGCAATCATGTCATTCTCTATCGATAAAATCTTGATCAGTTTTGGATTTATTCTCTTATTCTCTATGTTCATCGGTGCACATGCTGATCTAGCATATGATGTTGCTTATCCTGAACGTTTCCTTGTAAGTATTCTATTTATATATATATATATATATTTGTTTTTATTGATTTATTTAATAGAAGTTGAATGAAGATCATAATGCTGTTGATAGTATTCATTATATGGCCAAACGTCGATTTTTACCTACACGACGAGAATTACATCGATATATTAACAATGAAGACAGTAATGAAAGCGATGATGAAGAATCACATTTAAATAGCAAACGATATTTTCTTAAATCTAAACGTTATTTTCTCAATAGCAAATGAATTTATGTAAGATTTTTGTTTTACTAATTATGTCGATTTGAAATTTATTTATTTATTTTTTCCTTGTTTATAGAAATGAAGAATATTTGATCAACAGCAATAGCACACTTATATAATAAACCTGCACTGTTTTCTATTATCGATTGTAAGCCGAAAAAAAGAAAAGAAATGCATAAGAATAAAATATCTTTTTTGTTTTCATCACAACTAATTTAAATTCTATTAAAATATATAAAAAAAAAGAAAATCTCAAATCAGTACTATTCTATCTATATAAGAAAATATTGATCATAATATTATTCTAGTCTTATAAAGAAATATTTCTTACTTATAAAACACTTTTATTTGATTAACTAAAAAAAAACATTTTACGAGACAAAATTACTTCTGTTAGTTGAATGATATGTAAAATGCAATCTGTTTTGATAACCAGTATCAATCCAAAGATCTATCTAAATATTTCTACTTTGATTGAATCAAGATCGAATCATTTGTCACGGATGTGACGATTTCTAGATGTGTTAAACTTGTGCTTGTTTGATCTAAGTCATTGTTAATTTTGGTTTATGAATATACTTAATCGTCGGCCAGATATGTCAATGTACTTGACAATAAGAGTCAATAAAATGGTATTCATAATGAAATCAAACTACTTTCTCTATGTATTTTTATTGCTATCCATAGTGTACCTCTTGTCTAATTTGTGGACATTTTCTTTTTCTGTCAATTAAGAAAAAATGTCTTGATTAATCCATTTTTTTATTATCAAAACTATATAGATTCTAAAAAATATTCACTATGTTTCTTTCTATTTTTATGAATAAAACTTTGGTTTTCTTATGAAAATTTTAGATAGAAGCAAACCAAACACACACACACACACACATAGCGGAACATCCGGAATGACAAACACATCAATAGTTGACCATGATCTTCGCAAAAAAAGAGACAACAAAAAGAAAACAAAAGATAAAACAAGACATACAAAACGAATTTATCCTCAATCAACAATAAATAATATAACGACGGAAGCATGAAAAGAAATGAGTTGCGATACAAAAAAGCACATTATCTTCTTTTTATCAAAAATTTTGTTTATCTTTTTGTTAGAAAAATAATGGAATAATGCGACGTGAAAATGAGCGTAGGACATATAAACACACACACACGAATGTTAGTAAAAACAAAAAGAAATATTGTTTTATTAATGCTTAATATGCACTTCAGCACCTATTGAATCTTTTGTACTATGAGGTATCTTGAATGCAAAGATATTGAGATGATCACAGATTTGGCGAACCTAGAAAATAATCAATTGATATTTATTAGTATATCCATATATATATATACATAGGTCATTCAAAAACTTTTCGAATTGATACGATAAACGAGAAGCGCTGTTACATTACTATTCTCACTTATATATAGTTCATTATCAATTTATGATAAAGATATCGTAATCTATAGTGAACTACTCAATGTAAACTGTGATTACACATGTATCAATATTAGACGAAGCAGAATTGTATCATTAGACAACGAGTATTTCTTGTAATTGTTGTATAGAGATTTCATTCAGCAGATTATATGATGTCTACAGCTCAACTTACCACACAGCAACCATAATGAATATGAGCTAATGTAACAAAAATATTGTATGCAAATAATACTATAAATTCCATTCTCCCATTGAATAGACCATAAACAGACATGATTTGTATTGGTACATAAAGATACAAAAGTGTATTAATACCATCTGATCGAGTTGAAGTCATTTGAGCGACAACAAGACGACACTGAATAGATAATAAACAAAAAAAAAGAAACATTATTTTGATAGAATGTATATTTTTATACATACTGCAATATTTGAAAAAGTTGCACCAACAGCTGCTAGAAATAGACGTGGTTGTTTTTCTAATATCATATGAGGAGATGAAAATCCCCACCATGTTGAGGAAATAATTAGAATAGCTGGTGAGATTAATGGTCTAATTGCTTCAAAAAATGTACGATTGTATCCTTTACCAGTTCGATATGACCTAAAATCAAATAGAATTAAAACAATAAATATATTCTTGTTTCATCAAAGATTTAAAATGGAACTTTACTCAATGAGGATCTAGATAGCCTATATTTATCAATAATAACTATACTTTCAACTTCATAGTCAATGCATTTTAGTCCTTTGAAAATAGGTGACGTATGTATGCGTCATTTGTTTTGAGGTTATTCAGTTTTCTACATATCAATTATCTATTTATAGCTCTGTCTCATATTGTCATAAACATACAGAATGTATTATATAACACATATTTGCGATAAATTTCGAAAGATAACTGAAGTTATTTAAAAATTAATGATCAATTATTTCAAAAGATTACGTTTTTTACTTATTGATTAAAACAAAACATATAGAATAAATAACTTACTCATAAATATGAACAATACTAATTGGAACTCCGCTTAACAATCCCAATACTATAAAAATATAATTAAAATAAAAACATTTATATTAATTAAATTTACTTGGCCATGCATATTTTACTATTTGAATAAATGTTACATTTATTATAGGAATAGTAAAATGAAAGACACTTGGTGAAAAAGCATATGCTATTAGATATGTTAGAGTCATAATCTAAATAAAAATTCATTGAGAAAAGATCGAAATTAAAAACTTTTAATTCTTACTATCATTGATATATCATATGACCATGGTAAAAATAATACTTTCGTATTATATTTTTCCCAGTGTGAATCAATAAATGTTATATAAATAGATACAAGTGATAGATGCATAGCCATCGGACTAAATCCATCTTCATTTTGTGATATAACAGAAAAAATACAGATTGGAAATAGAAAACTCGCCCATGAATCAACACCATGATCAAATAATTCTCCTAAAGGACTACTTGTTTTTGTACGTCGAGCTTGTTTTCCATCCATACCATCTAGATAAAAAACAAATGAAGATTTTTAGAAGAGATAAGATTCTTATTTAGTTATTTAATAATACCTAAATGATGTGACCAAAACTGACAAATTGCTGCAACAAGCCAAACCCATGATGGTAGAACAAGTGCTTGCGTAAAATGTAAATCATAATATGTAAACATAACAAAATTAACAACAAGAAGAAGAAAACCAAGAAATGTCATTAAATTTGGTGCAAACCATCGTGGACAAAACTACAAATTAATATACATAATTTCGAATAAATGATCATCTTTTTTTGTCAAAATAATATATACCTCAACCAACCAGTTCCAAAATGGTTGGGTAACATACAAAGATACAGGTGATGTATCAACGGCATTATACTAAATTAATTATTGAAAAAAAATCTAAGAATAAAAATTCTTTACTTTGTACTCATTGAGCCCTTTCAAATGATCACGGCGTAAATATGGGTAATACAATGAATTCATTTTTTTCTTGATTAAAGAAAAAAAAGAAATCTGAAATAAAACTATGTTTACTTAGGAATTTAAATCTTCATAGATTTAACTCTCGTTTCCTGAAAAATAAAATTCATGTTTGTATAGACTACGCACATGTATCAAAGAACAATATTTATATTATTATTGTTTTTGTGCGTTTTTCGTTACCTTTAGCCGAATACAACAAAAAGCAATGAAGAAGAACCGTAACGAACGTTCTTCTACGTACGTAAGGTATTCTCTTCACGTTTTTATTCGTCCTTGTTCTGAACCAATTATAATTGAATTCAACTTCAGTATTTCTTTATCTTTTTTTTTACTGGACATTTGTTTTGTGTTTCTATTCTTTATCTTTTCTGTGTATTTTTTTTATATTTATAAATGACTTTATTTAAATTCTAAAATCTTTTATCTTTTTGCGTATTTTACATGAACATTAAATAACAACGAAATTGACGAAAAAAACAAAACACACACACAGAAAATTTTGTGAATTTTTCAAATGGCAACAACTGTTGATTATCCAACAACATCAGATGATGAAGAATCTGTTGAAGATGAAAAAACAACAGGTGGATCATTTCGTAATGGAGAATTTCAAGGACGACTTTTTAAATGGACAAATTATTTACATGGATGGCAAGAACGATATCTTATATTAAAACATGGATTTTTAAATTATTATAAAAATGAATTTGATAGTACTCTTGGTTGTCGTGGAGCTCTTTCTGTTAGACAAGTCATTATTCAGGTAGAATTATATTTTACGAAAACTGAATTAATTTTCGGAAATTTTATTTTAGCCACATGAATTTGATGATTGCCGTTTTGATATACGTGTCAGTGATTCAGTATGGTATTTACGTGCAAATAGTGTTGAAGATCGTGAGCGATGGACACACGCATTAGAAGAACAAAAACAATTGTGTAAAAGTGAAGTTGGCTATGGAAATGAAACAGGTTTAAGACGACATCCTAGTATTGGATCATTAGCATCAACAGCTAGTGCTAGTGTTGCTTCCACTGGTTCTTTTAAAGTAATTTAAATAAAATATCAAAATTTTTATTTACTTTTCATTTATTATATAGAGAGATCGTAATTTAAAAGAGAAATTACATGAATTAGAAACATTCCGAGAATTACTTGGGCAACAAGTGGCAACATTACAAACGTATTTTGATGCCTGCGCTAATTCTGTGGCAAAAGGATTTGAGCCATATCAAAGAGAATGTTAGTTGCATAAGTCTTTTTATTGAATAATCAAGAAAAAATTGCATTGAAATATATATATTTAGATGAGAATATAAATGATTTAGACTTTGAAGATTCAATAGATAAACAATCTACTACATCTACATCAACCAATGAATCAGTAAAAAGCCCACTAACAAAACCAAGTTTGTTCTATCCTATAAAATTCATTTATTTTTATTTGCTATGTTATGTTCAGGAATTGATCGATTAGCATTTAATGATCATGCAGCTATGTCAATTGATTTCAAAGGAGAAGGTTAATAAATATATAAATATTATTTATCTCATTTGTCATATTTTTAAATGTAGCCTTAACATTTAAAGCAACTACAGACGGTGTAATACATAATCTAGCAATTTGTATTGAGTTAATGCAAAAACGAGAAGATATTTGGAAAAAGAAATATGAAAAAGTAAATATATAATTTACAATTGGGAATCAATGTTTAATCATATATCAATAGGAATTAGAACGTCGAAAGAAATTTCAAGATTTATATACAAAAGGAATTAAACAAAAAATTCCTGCACTTGGTTCACCCGATGCTGAAGTTAGTAGATTGAAAAAGAATCTTTATAAATTATTTTTATTTTTTTTAAGGAAGGTCCACATAGTACTTTAAATGAAGATGAATTTTACGATGCAATCGATCAATCTTTAGATCGAATCGATCGCGAGACTGACGATCAACAACGATCAGTAAGTTGTATTTATCATGTTTTTTTTCTGTATATATTACTCATTTCAAATCAGCTGCTTGTCTACAAGATAAGAATAAAATATGTCGAATTATACGCTAGGAAATAAAATGAAAAGAATGTACTTCACTCTTTTTTTTCTTTTTTTCTTTCATAAAATTAATTGACGGCGAGAGAAGAAAAAAAATCGAATTTTGAGAGCTTTCTGTACAATATTTCGTTCTTTCTCTTCTACACGTCTTTTTCAGTCTTCGATCAATATTATTACATCACTATTTGAGAATGATGATGTGTCACAGATGGTTTCTCTACGGTGTAGAGGCAATCAGGTGCACCATCAGCATGTTTAGAAGAGCAAGACACGTAAACAAAAAAAAACAGCAACATGCCTTTTCTCTTTTTTTTTTCTCTCGTTGTAAGTGTTAACTACACTCACTATTATATATATATAACATAGTCTACGACGTACAAACGTGCGTAATACAGATAAAAGAAAAAGAAACTTATTCCAATGACATCAATTAAAAAAACTTTTCATATTCCACCATCATATACATTCACAGCTGGATGTTCGAATCCAGCTACAGTCAGATCTATAGCTCCATTTGTTTCATCTTGTTCGTCATCATTAAATTACGTCGGAGGTTTACGACCTTATTATGAACAACGTAAATTTCTATCAAAAGCAAATACATCAGGCCTTTCTTCTTCTTCTTCTATTACTTCTCTTTCGAATGTCGATATTCATACTACAGACGATGATAAATATGTAACACCACCGTCTTCAACGGATAGTAGTGATCAGTCTTCTAGTATAAATCCATTTGAATTATTAGCCAAAGAACAAAGTTTACGATCATTAACTCAGGTTTGACATATTCTATTTGACAAAAAAAACATATCGATTATTATTAGTAATAGATTTATTAATAAAAAAAAATTTTTCATGTTTTTAGGCAAAATTATCCTCAAAATCTTCTCATGATCATCGATCTGGAATAAATAAATCAAAAAATACTAAAATATCAGATTCTAGTAAAAATACACTCTCTACAATTACTAATGGAACAGTTTTCTCAACACCAAATGACGAAAATACAGCTGTTAAAGGACAACATCGATTAGCTAATGAAGTAAATTAACTTTTTTCTTTAATATTATTTTGCTTAATAAATCTAAATTATTAGATTGAACATATTGTTCAAGAACATTTGAAATATGTTCATGAAGATGTCAATCACGGATGGGATCTGATACATCAAGATGGTGAAATGAAAGTCTATCGACGTGAAGTTGAAGAGAATGGAATAGTTATTGATCCAATGAAAATGTTTCATACAATTAAAGTAAATCAATTTTAATTTTAATTAAAATGAATCTATGAAAATTTATTTAGGGTGTTACGGGTCATGAAATGTGTCGATATTTTTATGAATATCAATATCGTATGGAATGGGAAAGTACGTTTTATTGGTTTATTTTAATTTTATTTGAATATATTTTCAATTTTAGCAACACTTGATTCAACAAAAATCATTGAAGTATTAGATTCTGATACAGTCATCTTTCATCAAATGCACAAACGTGTATGGCCATCAGCTCAACGTGATAATTGTTTCTGGTCTCATATTCGTTGTATAGCAAAATCTGAAGAAGATCAACCAATATGGCTTGTTGTTAATCATACAATTCCACATCCTCTTGCACCTGTAAAAAGAAAAAACGATTTCCTTTTATTTATTGATTTAATATTTTCATTACATAGATAAAACCACCTCAAGTTCGTCTTGTTGCAAATGTTGCTTTGATATGTGAAACAGTCATTAATGAACCACCATTAAATCCAAAAGATATTAAACGAGAAAATATTCAATGTAGACTTACATATGTCGCTTTTGGTAAGATCAAATTACTCATCTCTTAAAATTAGTTTGTACTGAATATCTTGAAGGAAGAATAATAGCATTCCGAATAACTCACTGATAAACATGTCTATTTGATAAAAATCTAGGCTTTCGAATTCTAAAGCATTGAAAACAAGATATTTTAATTATGTAAACTTGATGGACTAGATTGATACTATCATTTATTAAATATTAGCTTCTTGTAATCTCATAGATCTATATTTCATTTTGAATGAGAAAATGAATCATCGTACTCTTTCGATGATTAATTTTATGATTCACAAATAGAGATGTGCGGGACCGGGGGACCGGGACCGAGGCCAATAAAAACTTAACGGAGACTGAAACCGGGACCAAAACAAAATCTACCGGGACCAACCCTTGAATCTGGGACTGTATAATGACCTTCAATATGTTGACCTTATTCAAGAAAAATGAAACAAAAAAGTGCTAATCGTCCACTGAACAAATTTGAAAACGAGTATTGAAAAATTGTTTTAGAAATTCACTGAATAATTTTGGATTAACTGTCTCTAGGACGATATTAGAGATGAGCGGGACCGGGACTAAAAAATGAAACTTTACCGGCACCGTGATCAAAAGAAAAGCTTTACCGGGATTAGTACCGGGACCGAAAAAAATTTACCAGGATCGAGATCGAGACCAGGACCGGGACCTAAAAAGGTTGGTCCCGCACATTTCTATTCACGAAAATATTTTAATTATAAATTCTAATATCTTATTTTAGTCAATCCTGGTGGATGGGTACCTGGTGCAGCATTACGCAGGTAAATTCTAACTATATTCTTTTCACACTTAAATATGACCTTTGTTTTATTAAATTTAGTGTGGCAAAACGTGAATATCCTCGTTTTCTAAAACATTTCTCAAATTATGTTATTGAGCAAACACGTGACAAGCCTATTCTATTTTGATTTCATTTCATGTTTTTCTTTTTTTTTCTCGACGATGTTTTTCTATTTTCGTCTTTTTCTCTCTCTCTCAATCTTATTATTTTTTTTTTCTTCAAATAATGATCACTCGATATTTCTTTGCATATCAATATTTGTTTTCTAACTTCTGTTATTGATATTGTTATTTCTTCTATTGTTTTTTTTTCTATCATCATTTACTTTTCCTACATTGCACACCATTTGATGATGTGAACGTTTGTTTTATTCTTAGTATCTTAAAATGCACAAGTTATTTTGAAAGATCCATAAAAAAAAAGAAAGAGAAAAGAAGAAAGAAATTATTGCTCTTAATCGATAATAAATGATAACAGTAATGTTATTATTTTAAACAAGAGCATTTTTCATTATTCTCTTTAATATAGATCTATTTAAAAGAATTTCTTTTATATATATATATTTAGAATGATAAAAAATGCGTCATCATCGACGCCTATGCGACCGACTATTAATATTCAACAAGATTCATTTGATTTTTCTGAAGATGTTCTAAAATCACCTTCGAATCATGTTTCTATGGATGTATCGAATGTTGTTACACCCTATCAACCTAAAAATCAACAACAACCACAACAACAACAACAACAACAGAATGAGAAACGTACAAAAAAATGGTCTATTGACGATTTTAATATTGGCCGACGATTAGGAGAAGGATCTTATTCAACTGTGATACTTGTCGAAGAAAAGAAAACAGATTTTCTTTGTGCTCTCAAAGTAATTAAGGTACTTCAAAATAAGTATTTAAACATACAAATAGATATTAATTAAATATTTCTATATATTACTCTTTTAGAAATCAATTATTCGCCAATATCAACAAGAACATCAATTAATACGTGAACTTGAAATTCATATGCGTTTATTTCATCGACATATATTACGAATGTACGATTTTTTCTATGATTCAAATCGTATATATGTTATACTTGAATATGCAGCTAATGATACATTAGCATCATATTTAAAACGTCATGAACGTTTAGATAATACACGAACAGCAACATTTATTTATCAAATAGCTGATGCATTAAATTATTGTCATCGTTTAAAAATTATGCATCGTGATTTAAAACCAGAAAATATTCTTTTAGGACAATTTCATGAAATCAAATTAGCTGATTTTGGTCTTGCACTTCATTGTCCAAGTTCACGACGAACACAATATATTGGTACAATGGATTATATGGCCCCTGAAGTTATTGAAAATGAAGATGTTAATAATGTTGATTCATCATCATCATCTGTTGATTCAACAACAACAACAAAATCACCTATGCCATATGAAGAATTAGCTGATTTATGGAGTTTAGGTATAATAACATATGAATTACTTGTTGGTACAACGCCTTTCTATGATCCAAATTTAACTATAACAAAAAAACGTATTTTGTCGTGTGATTATGTATTACCAGATTATATACAAATTGATGCAAATCATTTTATAAATCATTTACTTAAATATGATCGACAACAACGATTAACAATATTAAATGTCTTTGAACATAATTTTATTCGAACATTTGCACAAACGAATTTTCTTAATGAAAAATTTCATCATTTTGCGTCGATGCATCATTCTCAAAACAATACTCAATAATTATTGTGAAATAGAGTGTATAATGTCAGATTTCCTTTCCCTCCCCTCTTTATCTTTTTTTTTCTTTTCGAAGAATGTTATATGTATGTATATATAGATAAATAAATATATATCATAAATAAAAAACGATTTTTATAGTCAATGTTTATTTTTTTCAAATTTAGATTATATCTTATTCAACTATGCAATTCTCAAATAATATTAATTATTGTAGAAAAAATATATGATAGTTTCAAGTTAAATATATATATTCCTCAATAGATGAATTTTGACATTTTTATGTGAAAAGAGATCAGATGAACAAGGTCGACATGTTATTGTAACATTGTATGTCTATGTGAGATTGAAATAAATGTAATCGGTTTTTTGAAACTACTCAATTTTAAATGTTCTAATTATGAATATCTTTGCTAAGATTTATACACTATGTTAATGTAATATAGGATCTGCACCGAAGGAGTGACAAGAGATTGTTTAATCAGATATTGTTATAACATTATTATTTCAATCTACACTAAATCATTAATCGTTCGACGATGTTTTATTTTAACATTATTTTAGGATAAAATAAAACTCTATAGTTACTACGAATAATGATATTGCATTCCTAATTCAATGTATATAGGTATTCAAAATAGAACTTCGATCAAATGTTCGTTCTTATACATATCAGTTCATTCTAAGCTTCAATTGTACTACAAGTATATTTATCCATTGTAAACAATAGATCAAAATTCGAATAATAATAATATTTATTCACGAAATAACCTTGATCAGTATTAATTTTTGATTCTATAGAAAACAAAAACAATTCAAAATGTCACAATGAAAAAATGATAATAAAACAAGTCAATCAGATAAATCGGATGCTGTTTTCTTAAAATACAATTTTCTCGATACTGAAGCACATCAAGTTATTCTCATCTTATTGTTCTATTATTGAAAAAAGTGTTTCAAATAAATTAATCAGTGTCTAAAATTCAGGTTTTATTATTTTCACACACGTAAAAACTTTATGACATTACTTATCATTTTTATAATCTTATTTACTATTTTCGTGCTCTTTACATTGTACAAAGTTGTTTATAAAATCACTCTGACTTGACATACATGAAAATGGCATCTTCGATAGATAAGTTTTGATCATTTTGTTTTCTTCGTTGTTCATTATTGAATCTAAATATTTATTTTCAATACTATATTATTACGTACAATATATAGTATAATGTACATTTTTCCTTGACGTATATTGACATAAACTTTTGTAGATAAATGTTATACATCTGTTTTGTATATTTACAAATATATTCGATATTTAGAAAATAATCTTCTATAAATACAAAATTGTACGTTCACAAGTACTCATTTAGATTCTTACTTCTTCAACTTATTTCTTGAACATGACTCATTTATCTAGTATTAATGAACAAATTGAGAGCGATCCTAATGATGAATTTTGTTCTACTCAAGAAGATTCTTATCGAAATCTTCGACTTCAGTCATTTGTTGATCGATATGGAATTGAAGAAGAACAAATATCATCAATTGATCGTGCTAAACGATATGTAAGAAAAAAATATTCGTCATTGACTATAGAGTGTTGCTTAAATGCATTCCTAAATAAAATACCACTTATTCGTTGTTTATATGAATATAATATTCGTAAGAATCTATTTGGCGATATCATGGCCGGTATTACAATCGCAATCATGCATATACCACAAGGTAAAAGAAAAAGAGGATGATCAATTATAAAGAATAATCATTTAAATTGTAATAAAAAAGGTATGGCTTATGGTACACTTACAACTTTACCACCCGTTCATGGTAATTAGTTTATTTCATATTTTAATTGAAATAAAAATCTGAAAAAACTTCTAGGGTTATATATTTCTTTTTTTCCTGTAATTTTGTATATGATCTTTGGTACATCTCCACATTTATCTATAGGTAAAATACTTTCTGTATGTTTGAATTATTAATAAATTCTACATAGGAACATTTGCTGTTATATCATTGATGACTGCACAAGCTATTGATAGTGTATCATTACAACCGATGAATTTAATCATGAGTAATGAATCAATTTCAAATGCTACTGATTCTTTGATTATCGACACAAAAGTAAATATAGCAACTACTCTTGCTCTTCTTGTTGGACTTATTCAAGTAAACTTTACAAGTTCATTAAGAAATCTATTTTAAATAAATCCTTTTTTTGTTTAGATACTACTATCTTTTCTTCGACTTGGATTTTTAACTGTTTATTTAACAGAACCATTTATTAGTGGATTTACAACAGGTGCTGCTTTTCATGTCTTTACAAGTCAAATTCCATCTGTTTTTGGTCTTAAATCTCCACGTGGAGTACATGGACCATTTAAATTACTAGGAATTTATATAAAATTATTTCGTTCATTATTTACTAATATTAACTGGATTTCAACAGCAGTTGCTTTTATTTCGATTATTGTTTTATACATTGCAAAATATTTCAATGATCGTTATAAGTCAAAAATTCGTATTATTCTTCCATCTGAACTACTTCTTGTATGCTAAATAATATTTTCTCATATACATATGCATTATGTATAAATTATTTAGATAATTATAGGAACCACTATATCACATTTTACACAATTTCATTCAACATATGGTGTATCTGTAGTAGGAGAAATCAAACGAGGTCTACCTCCACCATCACTTCCATCATTTAACAATGCTAATCAGTTAATTGTACCGGCTATTACAATTGCTGCTGTTAGTTTATCTATCTCAATATCAATGGCAAAAACGTTAAGTCGAAAACATAGTTATAAAGTCAGTTCAAATCAAGTATGTTACATTGAATTATTAGAAAAAAAACTACTTTATTTAATTTGTAAACTAGGAATTATTAGCATATGGAATGGCTAATGGAATTTCATCATTTTTTCAATGTTATCCAAGTGCAGGTTCATTAAGTCGTTCAGTAGTTCAGGAAGGCAGTGGAGGAAAAACAGTACTAGTTAATGGTTTTTCTTCTCTTCTTTTGGGTTCAGTACTTATTGCATTAACTCCTCTTTTTCGATCATTACCTATGGCCTGTCTTGCTGCTATTATAATTGTAAATTTAAAAGGACTTTTTTTACAACTAAAAGATTTTCTCCTATACTTTCGAATTAGTATGTTAGAATGTGTAAGTGTATAAAAAATATTGAAAACAAAAATATATATAATTACTCATGTAAAATAGATTTTATGGACTATGACTTTTGTTAGTGTTGTCTTATTCGATGTTGATATTGGTCTTTATGTTGGTATATGTACATCATTTATTATAAATACAGTACGAACTCAAAAGTAAGGGTGATGAACTCAACTGAATTATTGATCACATTTTCTTTTTGCTTTAATTAGACCTCGATTTTTTATACTTGGTCAAGTTGATAATACTGGTATTTATAAGAGTACAACATACTTTCCTTCTGTATGATTTTAATCTTATTCTGCATTTAAGAACTAATTTGTATATATATATATTCTATAGGTACAACAATATTTAAATATAAAAATTCTTCGATTTGATGAATCACTTTATGCATGTAATGCTCCATTTTTCAAAAGAAAATTTTATGATCTTATTGGTATTCAACTTACACAACAACCAATTATTTCTTGTGGAAAAAATAAAAA